CAGTTGAATTATACTTAAAGTTCAGGGTAATCAACTGTTAAAAACATACTGTTCACATTTTTTTTTCTCCAATAAATGGATGTTTTCAAAGTCAATGAATAATTGCATTTAATAAATCGCAATTACAATTATTGACCCAAACAATCGAGATTATGATTTTTGCCATAATCGAGCAGCCCTAATTTAGGGTGCCGCCTCCAGCAGTCCACAGAAGTCAGGCGTGATTTAACATCTCGCTGGCCTCTGGCACATACACGAGGATAAACAAACACAAATACCAGTATGTGAGAAAGTGAAAGAAATGGAGACAGCGGCTGCATAAATGTGCCAGAAGTAGCCTGTAGCCATTGTTGCCTTACTAAAACATGTTAATAAAATGTATGTTTTATTTACTGCACATTTTATAATATTGCATTAATGTGCATGCGTATGGTAACTTACATTCAGTCACTAGAGCCAGATGGCATTTGTTTCCACTACTTCTGACTCAAATAGGTCACCTGTCATGGGTTAAAACTCCAAGTCTTTCATTATATTGATGACATCATGGGCACGGAAACATTTCTAACTCACTTGATGAAAAGTATTACCCTCTGTGCAACATGAGCTGCTACACTGTCCTTTCAAATGTGGTAAAACAAGCTACATTTGTTGACATCAGCCTGATCCTTTCTCCTTCCCTGTCCACGTCTAACCTCGCTCTCTGGCTTGTTTAGAGACACTTTATCTGATGAGTTACAAACATTGTTCCTTCAAAACCATTTAGTGGCCCAGATGCCAGAAGATGGTGTGAGGGTCTGTTAAAGGTCAACAAGCATTATTGCAGAGAGGCTCTTTATCAGTTCATCTGGACAATGTCAAAGGAGACCTTAGCTGTCTCGCTTGGCCACTCTGTCTTCATTTCACACAGCTTTACTCAGTCTGTGTGGTACTATAGCGGAGCCTAATGCAAGTTCTCTGTGACAGCATCATATTTCAGGCGGTCTTTGACTGGGACAGAGTTCTGGGACCACCAAAATGAATGTGGACGTTACAAATTCAGGAAAATAAAGTGGTGCAGCTTACACATTTTGTAAGTCGACCAGGAAGTTAGCGTCGGAACAGGTCCCGCAACAAAAAGCAATGAGATTCTACCATTGGATTTGTGGCAAACGCATGTTTACTTTTTGTATGTTTTATTCAGCAGGATAATCGCCATATTAACACTGTTTATGAATTTTGAACTGAAAGGCAATTGCCAGAAGTAAAATCCAATTGACTACATGACAGTCGCATGAAGACATTTAGTAGTCTCATTTAATCACTTGTTATCAACAGCTTCTTTTCAAGACACATAGAAGCTCCAAACAATTATGAGTTGGGTATTGGTATTTTATGTCGTAGAACAAAACATTAAAATCACTTAAGCTTGTATTAACGACACCTCATTTCAGGTCTCTAACCAAAAACATGTTCAAAAAAAAATCTTGACTTCCAGACAGGGAGATTCAAGAATTGGGAAAAAATGCAAACTCATTTCAGTGTTAAAAGGACTCATTCCTTCACCACTGAAGTCACTTTTTAAAAAGATAATGAACACAGTGCTGCTCAATGAAGCCCCTGCTGTTCTTTATTGTTTTATTTCTACAGAACAGAAGCCTTCTCACGCATTACAGCACACACCATGTCCGAGTAAACATGCACACTTAGAGCCTGTATCCCCAAAGGAAGAGGAGTAGGGGGGGGGGGGGTTCAGCCGCGTCAACGCACAAGAAATTCAATTAAGCAGACAGCAGGATGTCTCAGAAAAACCAAACCTCCTTTGAGCACAATATGCCCTCCAACAGTCCCCCACTACTCCACCTTGCATCTCCCTAGCCAACCCCTAACCGCTGTTCAGACACTCCCCCAACACCAGTGAGACCCATTGAGGGCCCCCTTTTATTCACTCCTCTCCCACTGCCCCTCTTGCCTCTAAAGAGAGAGACTTTCAGATTTACATTTGCCAGAAACATTTCAAATGTGTCTGAAAATGTATGAAACAGAAGCCTCAACCAACTGGTCTCTTTTACTCCTGGGACAGAAAACACATTCATCCTACTCCTCTTCTTCCTGTCTGTCTGTGCACGTCTGCAACCGGACAGATGCTGTTCATTTAGCACTCAAGTGGCAATCCTTGAGCTAGTCTCCTAAATACCCAGGGGGAGCAACTGGCATTTGGACAGCATTAAATAAAAGCCACACTGCGGACCTCACACTGCAGCCACGTCTGACCTCACAACATGGTTACTCTGCTCAGATTTCAAGCAGCCAATTGAGTCAATCTGTGCCAGTGAAGAATGCTCTTACTAGACAGGCCTGGAGTAGCTGTGTCAAACTGCGAGCAATTACATTTCTAACCAAACAGGTTTTTAAAGGGGTATTCATTGCGAACAGTTCTGGATACAGTCAACTTATGAAGTGTTTCTGCAGGTTTCAACAAGTTTAATTTGGAACTTTTGGGACAACATAGAATGAAATGTAATACCCATTTGTATGTTGAGGCCACACTAGAAGTTAAAGGAGCAATAGTAGCCTATGAATGAAAACAGACCTAGAAATACTTCCAGTTCATGATTTTATTGACTTATTTCAACAATACAAAAGTCATATAAAACAGTGATCAAAATCTTAAATGTAAGATGCCATGGTGACAGTCCCCATAAAGATAATGACACACTCAATGGATGACTGAGTGGAAAACCATTCTTCACTTCTTCAGCCAAACAAAAAAACTATTTTGATGACCCTCTTAATATTTGCAGATAACATTACAGAAGAGCGATCATTTTAAAAATCGTATTCAGGACAACTTTATACTATTTTGTTGGACCTAAATTGAATTACAGACATCGTAAAATTACCCACGGTGGCCCTGTTATCTAATAGTAGAATAGAATCAATGTAGTATTGCTCTATTGTTGTTTTTTATTGATTGATATCTTTGGCACTGTCAACAGCAGTCCTGTACTTTCCCGCATGGACTTGTTTGCAATTATGTAAGAAAGATTTGTGATGCTCAGCTCTGTTAAAGACAAGATAGCATCAACGTCATCATCAATGTGTTGGTTTAAACAATGAAATATAATAAACCTCCTCTCAAGTGAGGCGGGTTTTTCCCATGCCGGCGTGTCATTGTGTGTGTGGGTATTTGTATCAGTGATGAGCACAAAGAGCCTCAGGGGCACACAATGTCACACACATCGGGCGAAACAGTGGCTTAGAGAGGTGCTAGGCCTCTACAGACACAATATTGCTGTTACATAATGACAGCCAAACACCGCACCAAAAATGTGTGTGTTGGCATGTGAGTGTTTACGGATTAAAAAGGGCTGTTTTTTTCTTTCGTGCTTGTTTCCATTATTTTGTATTTGTTCACGGTTCACTTCACGGTTTTTAAAGTCCACAGTGTCCCGGAATGTCCGATGGACAACGTGACCTATGTGATCTGATTTGAAGCTGCTTGCTTTGAGCTGCCCCGTCCTTGTAAATCAGGGGAATAAATAATAAAGTTTCAAATGGTTGGGGGATTTTTTTTCTTCCCATGAAACATAATTTACTCCCCTTGCCAAACAGATCGTGGCGATGTGCTAGCTAAACGAAGCTTAGTGTCCTCCTGTTCCATCAGGGCATTTTCATCCCAGCTTCACGCTTTCAGCTGTGTATTTAGGTCTTAACACAGGGACATTGATTTTCTGGTCCCATGCCATGCATTTCAAACGGGCCCTAAGCAGACATGAGTGCTCTTCCACAAGCAAAAAGGCAACAATGATAATCTGCGAATGACCCCTAAAAATCAATATGCCTGTGTCCCCTTCTCTAAAAGCCATTAAGATAAGTCCCATTCCTTAAGGACCACAAGTGCAGTGACCCAAATCAGTGCAGATTCAAATGATGGGGTAGCGTGGGACTGAAAAGGCCACTTAAGGATACGGTGTGTGCATAGTGTGTGTGTGTCATAATCACCCCAATCAAGACCTTACTGTGAGGTTAAGCCAAGACCCCACATGCTGCTAATCCCTCACAGCAATTTTGATCAGCATATGGTGCAATCACCACTGACTGTATTATATATGAGGAATGAAACTGAGGAGATGAATACAGATTCATCTCCTCAGTTTCATAGAACCACATAGAAGTGTAAGGAATAAAGTATCATTTCAAAAGTTGTATGTTTATGTTTTATGTCAGGGGTAACTTTTGGTCATCTATCCAACAGTTTTGGCCACATACTTAGATGAAAAAAACGATTGACATTTGACCAATGTTTAAAGGAATACTTTAAACACAAATGACAGTTTCTTTATCAATTACTCTCCCTGTGTTTCTTTGAATTCTGGAAGACTGGATTGGATTTACTTGCACATCTCTATAGAGAATACATTTAATTTTTGTTTTTTTAAAGTCTAAATTACTGGGGGTAGAAGATGGATGGTTTTACAACAGCAAAACTATATCAAAATCTGTTTACAACTCTTACATAACTTGTGCAGTACAATCCAAGTGTAATTTATGCAGTCATATGCTCACTACTTCACAAACATATGCATTTTCAATTAAACTTCTCTAATTATTTTACTTCAGACTCAAACAAGTGTCAGACGGTTTATGGGGGTGTTTAAAAAAGGTACGTTTTTTGTGAAAATGCATGCTTGTTTGAAGAGTAGAGAGCATATAGTTAAATGAAACTTGGATCATACTGCACAAGTTGTGTAAGAGTTTTTAAATGGATATGTTGATAGTTTCCAGTTGTTTAACGCAGCACTCATTGACCTCAATTCCTCAAGTGTTTTCTCCAGTTTTTAGAAAACAAGTCTTTGAAACTTGGGTGAGTAATTGATATACTTTTGGTCATTTTGTTGGTGATATGTTGTTTTGATATGTTGTAAGGCCTTATTGATTGGACTCTGGGGCATCACTGTGTTAGGTCTGCCAGGACAGCCAGGTGTGTTTCCACAGGTGGATAGAGTGTGTGTACTCACCATTAAGTCCATTTGGGATGCTCCTGTGGTGGTGCGGTGCTGACAGGTCATCCATGGACCTCCTTATGGTGGTGCCTAGCTTACTGCTCTCTGTGGCGGGCTTGTGTATGTGGTTGTGATTGTGGTGATCTGGGCTCCCAGCACTTCCTGTGCTGGATGTGCTACTCCCATCTCCAACATCCCTGACGGTGCCGGTGCCTCCGTTCAGGTTGGTCAAACTGGACTGACTGTCTATTGAGCTCCTGGACCCCGCTCCGTTCCTCTCCTCATCCAGCATGAGGATGATCTCCTTCAGCTCAGAGTTCTCCCTCAACACGGTGTCCTGGTTGGCTTCCAGCTCCTTTAGCTTCATCATGTAGTTGCCCACCTCCTTCCATATGTTACTGGCAGTGAAGCGGCCGAATCGCTGCCACTCCCGGGACAGTTTCTTGCCCTTCTGTCGGTCGTCGTCCAGGAAGCAGCAGAGCTCCCGGAGCTCATGGTTGTCGTCCTGCAGCTTCTGGTTGATCTCCTTCAGGCTCCGGATCTCGTGCAGGTGCACCTGCAGCCTCCGGTTGATGTCTTTCATCATGTTGCCATGATCGATCATCAGGTTCATTTTCTCGCCGTCAACCTTCCTTAATCTCCGGACCAGCTCCTCTTTGCTGAACCGAAGCACCTCCTCGTCCGTCATCTGGCTCACCTCACCCTTCGCTCCCTCGGACGGATTTTTAGCCATGGCTGTCTCTGGCTGAGTCTCAAATCGTGTAAAAACGGAGGCTTAAAATGTGCTGTCAAAACTAATTCAACAGAGCCTCAGTTGCGGGATTGTGTTAAAATACATTGTCCAAAATATGAAAGCATCGTTATGCCCTCCTCTTCAACAGGCCGATAATTAAAAGGAAATATTAATGTGATGCTATGGCAACCCTAGATGAACTGAATGCCCTCGCTAATCTCGTAAAGGAAAACCCTTTCTGCAGCCTATTTCTAAAACAAATGCTCGTACTCACATTCCGTCAATAACAGAAACACATGATTTAAATCGATTAATTACCATGTACTTTCAATCAGGTCCTGGTTCCCATCAACATTCCCATAGCAATGTGCGCCCTCTCCTCTGGACATCGCTCCATTCAAACGATGGTAAACAGAAAGCGAAACAATTCAAATAAGCAGATTTGAGGTAAAAAGTAAAAACCGTCGCGTAAACATGAGCCAATTGTAAAGTCCACTTGGTGCTCTCCTGTACGCGTTCACCGTCAACAACGCTCCTCGGATAAGCTTCTTTGCTGAAGTGGTGCGTTTGCGGACGGAGGATTCAAGCCTTTCCACTCAGCCTGCTCGGAATTAGCAGCCCACCCCCACCTCCTCCTTCTTGTCCAAACACTCGGGTTCGGTTTGAAATCATTCAAGAGGATTTCGGCCAAGACGGCCAATCAAGACGTAGCAGAGCAGTATGCAGCAGCAGGTAGATGAACAGCGCGGAGAGGCTCGCGGGGCTGTCAGGCTCAGCCCTCTTAAAGGAACAGACACCAGTTGGACTGACAAAAACACATCATTCTTTTTTTAAATAATTAATCAAAAAATACATCAACAAAGCCCTAGAAAATGGCTTCAAACTAATTGTAATAATATGTATTACCCTGACATAAATGATTCAATTACTAATTTATAAAAACGTCACTAAACACATGTTTAAGCATTTTGTGTATTTATTAGTAGCTAATACAAAAATAAATGTGTACTCTAAAAAAAGTAGTTTTATGAGAAATTGTAATCAACTTTTAAACAATACGAATTTATCACTGAACAACCCTATCTTGTGACAAAATATATTACAATTAAATAAAACTAGACACCATCTTGCCATGCTATCACACTAACCTCGACATCAAATAGGGCCAGGGCATCCATGGGCCAGAGCCGTAAAGTGGGGGGGCCAATGGCCACCTTCTCCATTTCCTGCCCCACTGCTTCCAGTGCCCTTGCTCAGACCACACCCATCTTTGAACACCTTAAAAGGTAAGTGACACCATATCGTACCAGGGGCAAAAAGTGATGGGGAAAAGGGCCCCTTGGCCACCCTTGCAATATCCAAGCCCATGTTCATACTGGACATTCATTTTGATCTCAGTTACACATCTGTAAAGTTTTGTGGTTGCTTCTAGCCAGTCGCAACCTTATTTATGTGACAGAATCTGTCAATAGACAGATATAGAAATATAAACAATGTAAATGACTCAAATCATTGTCTTTGCTAGTTCCCATTAGGGTAGGTGTCTCCAGGAGCACATTTTGAAATAGTGCACACACTACAATACTCATAAAGTGAAAAGAATACCAACGCCGCTATAGTGATTGGTAAACTTGGGATAAGCAAAGCTTGTGTTAACTTTTGATAGTAAATTGTCTGGGAATTGAAGTTTAACAGGTGCTTTTGACATTTCTTTGCAAGGTCACAGCGCCCCCCTGTGTACATTGTCAGTAATGCCACAGCAGGTTGACTACATACAAAACTGGGTATTAAATAAAATCATATTATCAGACATTCAAATGACCATTGGTTTATTAAAGTGCAAAACAAACACAAAAATAAGATTTAACCTTTTTTGCATCAGTAAAAATAATTTCTTAATAATTATTTTCATTTGTGTAAAGTTGGTCAACTCTGCATTTTAGCGTTCAAGGCACAAAACAAGCTCAGTGTATATGGAAGAGCAGTGAGTTAGAAATAAACTATAGATTCCAACAAGACTAAAAAAGCAGTTCAAGTGCATTCCCATATCCTCATTAGTGTTCGTAATATATCAGTAACTACCATAACTGTTTTTAGATCAATTGTTATTGTAGATATACTGCTATGATTAAATGATATCATTAAAACCAGCCCCATTAAAATAATAAGTAATAATACAATTATGCAGCATAAGGGTATTTTGGTTAAGGCAAGGGTACACATTTGCAAGCAGTAAACTAGCCTTAGCAACCTAATTTCACCACATTATAACCATCTTCTTATGTGACAGTACATTAAGACCAGCTATGTATTGTGCTTCCTGTGTCTGATAGAGCACACCACTCCACTCTTCGGCTTGAGGGTGCCATTGTCCAAGATGTCAAAGCTCTGTCCCGGTGAAAGCGTAAAGTCAAACCTCTGGATCAGCTTGGCCATTATCAATTTTGCTTCCATCTGCAATCGCCCCACCACCAACAACGCATTGAGTTATTTCAAGGTGTTCCTATGTTTTATTTGTTAAAAATATCGATGACTGTGTCACAACCCACCTGAGCAAAGTTCTGTCCCAGGCATGCACGTGGGCCGAGGGAAAAGGGGAAGTAGCAGTAATAGGGCCTTGTAAACAAGATAGACAAGACACATTAAGTACACACCTTTTTCTTGTAGAAAAAAGCATTATATGAATGTTGTATGATACTTACTTGGGAGCATCTGGGTGAAATCTGTCCGGATCAAATGTCAGCGGGTCCTTGAAGAATTGTTCCATTCTCCCGGTCGTATACGTGTTGAACTGAATTTCAGAATAATTGATTGAAGATTTGTATAGCATGTCATGTCAAAATGGTTTGTAAGTATTCAAAAAATATTTGTTACTGTTTTTTTTTTTTCAAAGTTATGGTTGCCATTGTCTGACACACACTTCCTGCTTTAGAGGTACTCACAAAACACACGGCCCCTTTAGGCAACTTGATACCGTCGATAACAGTGTCTTCCGGTATCGCACGAGTAGTGCCTGGAGCTATCGGGTATAGCCTCAGAGTCTCTTTTAGCACCTGGTGGGAAGGTTACAGTGTGAAGTGTACATCCTGAGTCAATTACTTAAAAACAATAAAGAATAAATTATTCAAGCCAAATTTCAGAGAAGAGGCAAGTTATTGATTCATCTATTCAAGTATAGTATTGCAAACTAATGCAGCTTTATTGGCGACGGGAAAAGATTCGGAAGCATTAATGTACTTGCTGTCTGTAGCCAATTTGCAGTCCTGATAGTATTGACCAATCATGTTTGGTTTGGGGCTTTGGTTGCATTCAGGTTAACATTCCGATTGGAGAGCACAAGAGGCAGAATGCATTGGTCGAAATGTGATCTTGGAACCAATCTGTAATTTCTATTAAGCTTTTTCTTGGTTTCATTTCATTAGATTTATCTGCACTTAAATACGGATATTTGATTATAGATTAGTTATTTACATTGTCTATTAACTCCATCTCGCATCTAACTGACTCTAACGTCCTGAACACAAAAAAGGGAATCTTAGCTAGGATATTGGATCTGGTATAAACTTCCCCAAAATATTTGTAGTTGCTTTCAGGAGCTAAATTGATGGCTGAGGAATTCTGAAATTGCTTAATAATATGGTTACTGGTCTACTGTAGATTAAAGTTGTATGTTTTAGATGACTTGAGTCAGAGAATGATTGAATTAATTAATAAATGGAAATAGGAGTAAGTTTCAAAATGGTTTTCCAACATGCTTCACTCCTAAAAAGCTTAACATTGTGTACCTGTGAGAGGTAGATCAGTTTTCCCAGATCGTCATAAATGATGATCTGTTTCATTCCAATTACGTCATCAACCTCGTTCTTTAATCTGAAAAAAAATAACACAACTGAAGAAACCATCATTTCCAAGCTGTAGTATGAAACTGTTTTGCACTGCATGTTTAAGCGCTATATAAGTAACATGTATTATTATTATTATTATGTTTTGTTCTTACTTCTCCAGTATGTCAGGATGTCTTGTCAGTTCCTGGATGCAAAAAGCCAGCTGATTGGCAGTTGTTTCTTGCCCTAAAAGGTCAGAACATTACCTTTAAAATGTTGCTAATTTTGGATAAACAACACACAATTAAGTGATCCTTATCTCTTAAAAGAACATTTCGCCCCAATAAATTGTAACATTTATTAGCCAAACTTAGTTGTGATGATAATAATACATATACATGAGAACTTACCGATGTCATTATACCAAAAATATAAAAATATTGAACCTCAAATCTCTAATAGGTAACATTAAAATGTTGGGTGAAGTGTTCTTCTTATTTTGGAGCTTTTTAGACAAAGCAGAAACAACACAGACTCACCAGCGATGAAAAATGTCACGAAATTGTCCAACATCAGCTCCTCATCTTCTGAAGTCATGCTGTCCTCTGGGAAATAAGAAATTATATTTGAAGAAGTAAACCAATGTGGAAGCCATCAGCTATAACTGATAAATAAGCCATGACCCTGTTAATCAAGATCAATCAAACAGACCTTGATATGAGCAGTTGTATGTAGGAACTGTTCTCTTTCTACCACGCTACCCCTAAAACCCTGCAGGAGCAAGTGTGATTCTACCCAAGGACGGGTTGTCTCTTGTTGATGGTTCATAATTAACCGATACCACTAACTCAGTTAGCATCAAGGTGCTAGCTAATGTTAATGTAATGAGTAGAGATGGCAGGTGTAGTTCGGTAGAAAATAGTTTGTACATGCTACTGCTCACAACAAGGTCTGTGGATCATCTTTAGAAAGCGGGTCATGATTTCTTGAAAAAGACCTTGCTGTTGAGAATTATAAAGAAATGTTAATCATAATTTGAGAGAAGGCAGACATCTCTATGGAAAATATCCCACACTTAGTAAATCACACAAACACAATCAAAACTAACAAATAGTACTCTAATATGAATTATTGATTTTGGGGTAAGTGGTGTCTCTGAAATGATTGAACATTACCTTTGCCAGCTGTTTTGATGATCTGTGTGAGGATGTCCTTCGGGACGTCCTCGCCATTTAGCATGGCAGTCTTTCTTTCATTTATCCACTGAGTTCCAGTTGCGCGCAGCAGGCGGCAGGCTTCCTTCACTTCTTTAATGAACGGTTGGTTCTTGGGATAGTACTAAAAATGCAACAAATGTGGGTCTCACACAGTTTTTGTCATAACCACATAAACTCCATACAAACTTGCTGTGAAGTCATACTTGAAAAAAGATGTCTCTGATGTTGTAGACCATCCCCTTCAGAGTTAACTCGATGGCTTTAGTAAACACTGACTTATCCTTAATTTGGTCTAGATCCACACCAAAGGCAATCTGAGTGTCAAAAAGAAAACAAGGAAGTCTTTCAGATTCACAACCTTGTGTCACATGCAAGAAAAACGTGTTGGATCAGGGCTAATGAAGTCTAGGCTGTAAAACCGTGATATAATACCTTAGCGATAACATCAAGGGTAACAGAGTTCATCAATTGGAGCATGCTGGCCTCCGCTTGGTTATCAGCGACATCTGTCAGTTTTGTCATCAGTTTCTCTGCCCTCTCATCGAAGTTGTCCATTAGACCTCTCAGATACCTGGAAATAAAGGTATTTTGGGCAGAATCTAAAATGACTGCAAACACTGCACGTAAAATAAAAGTTCAGCAAATATTTGTATTGTGTCGGTTTGTGATTATTAAATAACTTACAAGCTGCTGAACGCTGGGTCCATGATCCGGCGCTGTTTATACCACTGTTCATGATCTTGTGCTGTTAGCAGGCCATTACCTAGGAACCTTGAAAAGAGAACATTAAAAAGAAAGACTTTCAAAAAGTTCAGAAATACACATCACAAATAACACTTGTAATCATTATTACTTCAAAGTTCTTGTTGCAGTATTTATATCACTATGATATGAACAGGAGCGCTAATCTGACTGTGTAATATATTACCTCATACCAAACAGATTGCCGATTTTCTTGTAGGCATTATCTTTCGGATACTTTGGGGACATCAAGATCTCCTGAAATGGAGCCATCAAACGAGGGTACATTGAACGACAAGGTGTTATACTACCAGGGATAATGCATCTCCGTTATTGGCAATAAGGACAATAGATGCTAAACTTTTGCACAGTGTTTGTGCAATGCAACTGACACAATTACCATTGCAATCTGTTGGTTGTTTACCTTGGTTCCCTCTGGGCTGGTAACAAGGACCATGATCTGATGCAGGAAATTTATCCTGCAAACAGGCCCGTAATTCGCAGACCTGTAAATTACATTTTAATTATGGGCTTGGATTGCAAACAATACATCTGGTTACACCCAAAGGCGGTCACGATATCAATCAGGAGTAACAGAAGTAATGACAACTTAAACTTGTGGAAGCTGTATAGACAAAGAGTAATGGAAATCACACTCAAATGTAGTTAACAAACATTAACTTAGTAGGAAGTAAGACACTAGCCCATTGAAGCCTAATGGTCAACATGTAGCCTACACGTAACGTTATTTACGTACTGGTGGTGCCTTCGACATAAATTGACAATGTTTGCACAATTACACACTGTCTAGGCTGAAAAATCTCTTATGCTTACCATTCCAGAAATGTGTCATGGATAACGTCACCATTTTTCAATGCCCTCAAAAACGTTGGAATATGTCCGAGGAGAAAACTGGGTGATGTGAAAGCAAAAAGTGGCATGTTTGACATCAAAATAGTTAGAGCTTAATTTAAGAAAGATAGGTGACGAGAAAACAAGTAGTCTAATTTAGCGTTGGAATGAACACACGTTGAATAAGCTAACTTTAAACAACGACCTAATTGACTTACTTGTCTCTCGGTGGCCCAGGTATGTAGTCATATGCCATATGAATGTATTTCATGTACATGCAGAAACCAAGGAACGCTATGAAAAGCAGAAACAGCAAAAACAAAACAGTCCAGCTCAAAATCACATAGAAAACTGCCATTCTGGTAACCTTATGCTGACAGTCTAAACACAATCGTAAGTGTCGTCGGGTCTTGCAACCTCGTTGCTGTTACCGATTAACTGGTGGCGGAACCTTCTTATTCACACGGAAGCGATACCCGATTGAAAAAAAATTGTAGTCAAAGACTGCAGTGGATTTGGCTCCATAGCTCAGTGGTTAGATCACCAGTCTTTTAAACCATGGGTCGCGAGTTCGATCCTCGCTGGGGCATGATAAAAAAAAGTTGTGTTGAGTAAATTGTGCCAAGTGAAAATCACTTACCTGATGTAAGAGGACCATCTGCATACATCATAGATGGTATAGCATTAATTCAGAGTCTGAATGAATCAGGTTTCCAAACATTCAACGACCTTGCGGAATGTGTTCTCAAAAGAATATTTTCATTTCTATCAGGAGAGGCAAAAATCTGTTGTGTTGCCATGGTTTTTGACCGATATGACCACCCAAACTCCATTAAGCAACAAGAGAGACAAAGACGTGGAGCAGTTGGAGATGCAGGACCAACACATGTGATCTCAGGGCACACTAAAGTGCCAAATTACAGGAGGTACTTGAGTAGCAGTGGAAACAAGGCTTTGCTTTCTGCTTTTGTTTCCAATTACATAACCCGTACTGGTCCATGTAGACTCACAGAGGATCAGACGATCATCTTGGCTGGAGGTTTTGAAGATACAGAAGAAACCAAAATCATCCTAAAGGACAGGGTGGAGAGCTTAGTGGATTTGATGAGCGACCAAGAAGAGGCAGACACCAGAATAATGCTACATGCCATCCACCTTGCAAAGACATACAAAAGAGTTATCATCAAATGCGATGATACCGATGTCCTTGTGTTACTGTTGTATTATGCAAGTTGCAGCATGTTTGGCTCTGCTTTAGTCCTGATGCACAAAGGCAAAACAGGCAAAGAGAGGTTTGTGCCCATCAAAATGATCTGTGAAAAGCTAGGGAAAGCCTTATGCCAGTGCCTCCCAGCTTGCCATGCACTGACAGGGTGTGATACAACGAGCAGCTTTTTCAAAATTGGAAAATCAACTGCTTTCACAAAAATGCAGAAGCATGTGGATGAGCTGAACGGTGCTTGCATTAGTGTAATGTAATTTCTGTCTCATTCTATGATATCTCTCCTTTTCTGTAGGATGTATATGTTTATGTATATATTTAACATTGATGTATGTTAATGTTAAGGCACATTTTAAGAATGATAAAAAGTAGTCTAAATCCTATAGGCTAAATGTCTTTCCCTGATATACCTGGTTTAAATGTAAGAACAATAATAGACTTTACAAAGCAAATTTGACTAAATGCTGTGTATGTATTTTGAATTTATGGTTTAATTTTAACTAATCTTTGATTTGTTCAGTCAAAAATGTTCATTTATGTTATATGAAAATGCTGTCATGCAAGCCTGTTGGCTCACAGTAGGCCTATCGCCATGTTAATTCAAAGATTAACTAAATATAAAGATAAATTCATTAAGAATGTTAAAGATGGGTTTATTATTATATATATTATATAAAAATAATTATATTAAATCTTGTTTTTTGCCTTAATCTATGGTCTGTGTCCTTTCGTTCATCCATTTACACCTATAGGGCCCATTCTATTTGTCAGTTTGAAGACCTTGCTGCACTAGCAACCTGTTAGGAGCTGGTGACAGAAGAGGTTACCAGCCCCTAATAGTCAAATAACCAACTTTTATCAAAAGATAACACTCTTTGGTACATATAAATAAGGTTTTTTGGGGATTGGTCTCCTAACTTTAATAATGACAGAAAAGTATAAACATACCTTTTGGATTTTTCCTTTCAAATTGCATTTCCGCCTAAATTGTATCAGTGTTTGATTGTATATTTTACAAAGATAGACAAAGGTATTGGTACAAAATGTGCTTTAGTGTATGCTTTGCCTCACCCTGAACATATAAACCAAAGTTGGTGACATTCTGATCCTTATTTCTAGATATACACGTGATAAGGTTGACATGGCCCCCTTCAGAGGAGCCTACATTTTCACTATCTTCGGTTATGGGAAGGTTCCATACATCAACCATATATTTTTATTTTGCAGTAAAATATTTGTATACAACAATCCGTTTCATATATTACAGATATTAAAGTAATGAAAAAACATGGTTGTGCTTTGTTCTACCTCGGGTAGGGGTATCTCGATAACTAAAGCCTTTTTGGGGGGTTTGTTCCTCTACTATGATGTTTTTCACTTTATGTAGCGATTTTGTTACCTGTTTGTACCTTATAGCGTGGTGGTTCGTTTAATTTTAAATGTGCGATGTTCACAATGTCGTAATGCCTCCTGGAAGCATAGAAACCTGCAAAACTATGCTGTTTATAAGCATAATAGATGATGATGATTGACAAATCAGATTCACACTAACTGTAATGTAACCATGTTTCCTACGGCCAGCCTTAACATGTCCACTAAGTAACATTTGAATGAGTTATAGACAGTAGATGATTATAGATATTCTTTTCACAACTTTTAGGAAAAACAACAAACACATATTAGTTCTAGAAAAATGAATGGGTAAACCATGTCTTTCGGCTGTTTTAGGTCACCGGGTTTTACCTGTGACCAGTTTATAGCCTTGAGATAATGTCTTGTGATGTGGTTTGGTGGTGATCTATTTTAGATCTTCTGATAGAATTGTCTCTGTAGTTTGTCAGGTCCCTTAAAATCTAAGCTAATGTGCTAACTAATTAATAAAGCTAAAGTTGGCCTTGTAAACCTCAGTTCACACACAGATAAAAGTTTTCACAATGTGAAACTTTTAACTAAACTGTACTGCCTCCAACCTCAGAGATCATCATCAGTTTCAGACGGGAAATTCCTCAGAAAACGTGGACAAATAGGACAAACGTTGCCAAACGGAGCATAGGACTACGTAGATAGATCGCACTTCACACATCACATCCCCAATGCTTTCACCTCATCTGGTGAAGCGAAAACCCTCCTTTGGTTCATACAATTACACACTCATCTCAAGGCGCACCGGAAGAACTAATTATTTGAGTCAACACAGCATTTCATATAGGCTTAACAAAGAGATTGACATAGAAGTGATAGGCCAAGTGATGCAGATGGACATTGTTGGGCACTTATGTTTGCTCGTCTAACTGTATTGGCATCATTGAACACATTCTAGAGTGTTAAAAGGTGGCTAAACGGTGGTGACAAAGTAAGCACAAAAGATGCATTGACGCATTAGTCTGTACATAAAACTATTTGTAACAGGGAATACAATGATTCATATAACTAAAAAAGCCATGGCGATACACATACTATAGGATTATTTTGACTTGTTAGTAACTTTTCAGAGTCGCACATTTACGCAGAACATTACCACTTAATTTAACCCTTTAACTTGTTAAGCCCCGAGCCTGTTTTTCAGGTCTCAGGCTCGAAAATGACATTCCCAGAAGAAATGACCATATCTTCCCTTCTAAAAGGGTTAAATTAATAATCTTTTTTCTCAAAGCAAGGTTACATCTGTGAGTCGGATGTAGAAGTGTCAGAATCAATATAGATGTTTTTATTTTAAAGTAAATTCAGATTGAACACAGTAAAATAATGTAAATTATTGTGTCCGTCCAAAAAAAAAATAATTATAATGAAAACCACCCTTGAATGATGGGATGGTAGACTAAAAGCTTTAGGAATCCAAAGTACAACATATAATAAGTACCCTGTATCAAGATTGATGCAAAACAAGTGAAATTTGACCTTTTTAGAGAGATTTAGCACAAAAAAACACTTCTGGGGTCATTTGGGTGGATTTTCCATATCTCTGGCCCCCCTTGCTCAATTTTGCTGATTGACATCTCTTTCTAACCGTCAGAGCCAATGGAATCGAGGGGAACTCCCACATACTCCTTATTTGGTAATGTGTGTATGTGAGACTGACGCATAGCCAAAACCGGAAGCTGTGATAACTCTGGTGGCTACCTTTAGCAGCTAACTTGTACTCTGCGATTTTTACATACAAATGCAATTATGGATTATAAATAATTTGTTCAAATCCACAGAAACATTATCAACCTATGGATTAACCGATTCAGCCGCGTTTTTTTCGTTTTAATACCATTGAACAAGTCTTTTGATCAGACAGCTACGGTGAGATGATCTCCCGTAAAAGCTCCGTAAAGGTACGTGTTGTGATGTCTGTGTTTGCTTCCCCTGTCGCGAGTTCGGATCACTCAATGATGATACTAATATCTAAATAATCTGTGGAACCTCAGCTTTAATCGGATATCTTGTATGTGCAGCTACGATAAGTAATAAGGGTATCTTTTATCTTGAGTTCTGTGCCAAAGTGCGTTAGCATTTTTCGCTCAGGGGTCATTTTGATGCTTCTTATGAGACTTGTGTTTTGTTTTGGTAAAAATGGTTTGTATCGTCAGTTAGCTGAGATTCTTCCCGTTAATCTGGTATAACACATTAATTGGTTCTTAAATATTAAGATGCCCTGAGACACCCCCGCCGAGGGGGGCTTTGGGGCTTAACAGGTAGTTCTCACCAAGAAAAAAGCAATGAAAAAAGTCTCTCATTTTGTATTTCCTTGAGCCAATAATACCAATCAATGTTTTTTTTTTACCAAAGGACCCCACAGTTTTTATGGTCAATATTGAAAAATTATAATAGCCAATGTATCAAAAATACATTTACAAATGTGAAAAAAACTAAATTAAAGTGCAGACTATTGCAATTATAAATCAAACTTGCTTCTTCAAAAAAAAACAGACTTGCTTCCTACCATAAAATTATTTAGCATCCATACAGTATTTATACAAAATACTGAAATATCATACTGATATATTTCATCACGTATATCATTGAATTACATTAAATCAACAGTGAATGTGTTTTCATTTAATAAAAATTGTAAATGTATCATCTAAGCATCACTAATTTTAGCACTAAATTTGATTTTAAATGTTCGGTAAAGCATGTTTTTAGCTAGTTAACAAATGAACAACAATAAATGGTCAGAAGTATTATAATTACATAATATACAAATCGCCC